GGGGGGGGGGGGGGGGGGTGTTGTAACCGGTGGTAGTGTCTCGTATCTTACACCTGTACCATCTTGGTGTGTTCTCCAGGTTCCTGTTGCATTCTGGTCAGTGGAGTCCACCCAGCCTGCATGGGCAGAAGCTCGAGGTGCACTGGATGAACGAGACGACAGCCTGGAGGACCTGATGGAGGTTGAGGTAGTCTCCAACAACAAGATGACCGCCTGCTGCCAGCCGCCGTGCTGCGGACTCGGCTGTGTCGGGTAGAGCGCAGCAGCTGACATCCCCCATGACCTCACCAGTGACATACCTGACAACATTACCGGCTGCTCATGTCTGTGTTTGAATGTTAAACTTCAGCAATAGGACACTGATCTTCTAACGGAGTAATACAGCCACTGGGACAGGAATAGAATCTGAGGTTCTTAGAATTAAAGGAAATACTGAGTTAAACATGAGAATAGAGTGCTGCAGGAATGAAGCTTCAAACCCAGAACTTCCTCTCCTGAAAGTCAGTGGTTGAATGGGTTTTTGGTTACAGGTCTTAAATAAGGTCTGTTTAACGGAAGCTTGAGACAGTCACATTTTACTCTACAACATAAAATACGGCAGTAAGTTGATCCTTAAAAGGCGGTTGCTAAGAAGTGGCCTCATAAGAGTACAGAGCAAGTCTGAAACCTTATTGGCTGTGTCGACTGAGCAGATTCCTCACAATTATTAGTCCAGTAAAAAGTCAGTCAGCTTCTGTGTGTTGAATTAAGAACTTTATTGATACAGTGAGGTGAACAAACATAAAAATATTATACAAACACAGAAGACAAACAATGAGAAGAAGAAAACGCAGAGATGCTTTACTTCTGGAAGGTCGAGTGTAGATGAGCTTTAAAGGCTGAAAGAGACAAAACAGCTATTAGAACTACAACTCCCATAAGCCCCTGCACGCCACCGCTGCCCCTCTACGCTACCCTTAAATAAAAGATGAAAATACCAGTTGGTCTTGAACATAATCATTTAAAGGTGATGTCCGTGAAGGCATCAGCAGGTTCTCACCTTGCTGATCGTCCCAGAGTTTAGCAGCAGCCGTGTTCAGAGGACTCTCGTTGTTCGGTTCTGAGAAGAAACAGAACACGTTAACATTCACTTAAACTGCTGGAACAAATTAAATTAAAGTAGATGTTCCTTCACTTTCGTCTACATTCATCTCTGTATAATCCTGACAACGATTTCAAACACGAGAAATAAAAGTAACCTGTCTGCAACACAAGATCTTTTTTATTGTTTACAGTTTCTAAAAAAAGGAATATAATTTCCATCGTGAGAAGAGGATTTATTTAAATGGTCAAAACTGTTGAAACTATTTCGAAATCAGTCAAACTTAATAGTTAACTAAAATCCTGATAGACAGTTAGAACCAACTATCAGCCAGTTTACAGTCTGCACTGGTTAGACTGGTTACCTCCCAGCAGGCTCTGGATGGACAGCAGGATGGAGCGGACGTCGTACAGCGCCGACCATTTGTCCTTCAGGATGTCGAGACAGATGAAACCTTGTTCGTCCACGTTGGGATGAAAACACGGAGTGACAAATTTCACGTGAGGAGCCTGATATGGATAACCAGCTGGAAACTCCAGAGACAGCCTGTACCTGAGCCCGTCATACACCTGAGACAGGTAACAGAGAGACAGGTAATGATGAGGTACAGCCTGTCTGAGAGACTGAAGTGAACTCCAAGTTTATAAATACACGTTTTGGGTCTTTTTGCCTTCATTGGATACAGCAGCTGAAGATAGACAGGAAAGAGGAAGAGAGGATGACAGGTGGGATTCGAACCCACAGCCCGGGGTACTCGGGCACCAGCTCTCACCAGCTCTACCAGGTGAGCTATAGGGCGCCAACGGGCTGCTATGTTTTAACATTACATAAGCTCAGAGACAGTGCAGTGACTGCAGGTTGGATTCTGGAGTTACAGTTTTACATTGTTGTTTCTCTGAAACGGAGCGAGACTGAACTCAGAAACAAGATCCAACAGTTAAAGTTCAGTTTCAGTCAGAACTCAACTGGGCCAAAGCAGTTTGTGTTTGGAGGGTTAGGGTTTAGGGTTAGGGGTTACACATGCCAGCAAAAACCAGTCATAACACCAGAGAGACAGCAGGCAGGAGAGACAAGTCCAGAGAGACAGGTCAGGAGAGAGCAGTCACGAGACGAGACAGGCAGCGAGAGAGACGGCAGTCACAGAGAGAGACAGGCAGGTCAGAGAGAGACAGCAGTCCACAGAGAGATACAAGGCAGGCACAGAGAAGACAGGCAGGTCACAGAGAGAGACAGGCAGGTCAGAGAGAGACAGGCAGGTCAGAGAGAGACAGCAGGTCACAGAGAGAGACAGGGCAGTCAGAGAGACACAGGTTCACAGAGAGAGACAGACAGGTCACAGAGAGAGACAGACAGTCACAGAGAGAGACAGGCAGTCACAGAGATAGACAGCAGTCACAGAGAGGAGACAGGCAAGGTCAGAGAGAGACAGACAGGTCCAGAGAGAGACAGGGCAGTTCAGAGAGAGAGATAGACAGGTCACAGAGAGAGACCAGGCAGGTCCAGAGACGAGACAGCAGGTCACAGAGAGACAGGCAGGTCACAGAGAGACAGCAGGTCACAGAGAGACAGGTCACAGAGAGAGAGAGACATCACAGAGAAGAGACAGGTCACAGAGAGAGACAGCAGGTCACAGAGAGACAGGCAGGTCACAGAGAGACAGGCAGGTCACAGTGAGAGAGACAGACAGTCACAGAGAGGACAGACAGTTTCACAGTACGAAGACAGGCAGGTCACAGAGAGAGACAGCAGTCACAGAGAGAGGCAGGTCAGAGAGAGAGACAGGCAGGTCAGAGAGAGAGACAGGCAGGTCAGAGAGACAGCAGTCAGAGAGAGGACAGGTCACATAGAGAGACAGACAGGCACAGAGAGAGACAGACAGTCACAGAGAGAACAGACAGGTCACAGAGAGAGACAGACAGGTCACAGAGGAGAGACAGCAGTCAGAGAGAGAACAGCAGGTAGAGAAGAGACAGCAGTCAGAAGAACAGCAGGTCAGAGAGACAGGCAGGTCAGAGGACAGGCAGTCACAGAGAGAGACAGGCAGGTCAGAGAGACAGGCAGTCAGAGAGAGAGACAGGCAGGTACAGAGAGACAGCAGTCACAGAGAGAGACAGCAGGTCAGAGAGACAGAGTCCAGAGAGAGACAGGCAGGTCACAGGAGAGAGACAGCAGGTCACGAGAGAGACAGCAGGTCAGAGACGACAGGCAGGTCAGAGAGAGAGGACAGACAGGTCAGAGAGGTTGCGTACAGTCCCCTGAGCGCATCGATGGTCCCGATCCATTTTGAAGAGATTATCTGATTCTGAAACGCGAATCCCTTATCCACTGCATCTGCATATCGACAGAGAGAGATGTCACATGATGTTTTCCATCCTGTTCAGACACCTGACTTACAGCTCATTGGTTTTACAGAGAAGACTACTTTACGAACATAAACATAGAGAGAGAGTGTGTGTGTGTGTGTTGTGTTGTGTGTGTGTGTGTGTGTGTGAGTGAGAGAGATGAGAGAGAGAGAGAGAGAGAGAGAGAGAGAGAGAGAGAGAGAGAGAGAGAGAGTTGTGTGTTGTGTGTGTGTGTGTGCCTGTGTGT